CCCATGACAAGAGGCTATTGCTCTCCATCAGTGAAACTCAGTGGCTGTACATTGAGAAATCCCAGGTACAGACTGTAAGACTCATACTGCCATGAATTCCAAACTTAATTTTGAAAATGCTACAAAGCCCAGGAATAGGACATTGATGTGTGGCTGGCTCCTTCTGCCAGAATTCCTAAGGTCACTAAGAGTCATGGTGTGCTGTGTGAAAATGGTCATGTGCAAATTGCTTCGAATTTGATTAAAATGTAAGGAGTTTTTAATGAACAGATACAATGATTGTTTTAGAGTCTTAGATAATATTGCCCACATTTCAAAATCAGGTCAGAGAAAGAGAGGACATGGAGTTGGGTTGTTGGGATGGATAGGATCTGGGAGGATTTGAGGGAAGAGAAAGTGTGATAAAAAATATATAAATTTTTTTTCAGTAAAAAAAATCAGAGAAAGAAGAAATGAGGTTTCAAAAATTGTATTTTAACTAAAATTCTTGGAGAAACAGTCATAAGATACTTAAGTAAACTGGAACAAGTTGGTAGTCTTGACAGCATGCTTTCTCAAAGGTTTCTCTGAAAAGAAGAGTTTGCTATAGAGTTTTACTAGTATCCTGTGACTAGATGATGCAGGGTAATTTCAGATGGGAGAATATGATGACCCTTTAAATAATCTTTAGGGATGTCAACATGTCTCAGGGGTAAAATGTTTGCTTCCAAGCCTGCTGACCTGGGTTTGAGTCCCAGGACCTACACAGCAGATGGGACACAATTCCCACAATTTGTTCTCTTATTTTGGCAAATGCATCAATCATACAGGTAAATAAATAAATAAGTGATGAGAAGATTTAAACTGTAATATTCTATATGATTAGCATAATTCATTTACCTATAATATCATGACAAAAGTCTTTCACACATGCAGTATTTTGGATTATATTCAGAGACAAAATTACCTTCTGAAAAATAGAAATACAACTAAAAGACCGACCCCTCCCAAAGACTGGCATCAAGTTGCTATCTCATCTCCATTACGTCAAAACTGTGGAGTACCACCCCTCCACTTTGAGTTAATTAACATTTGAGGTAACCAAGAAAAAATCCAGGATAAGCAAAGGTTCTTGGTGTTCCCTCGAAGCGTCTGGGCATGTGCAGAGCATCTGAAGGATGTCCAGACACTTCAAGGGATACCTGGAGAATGGCTTCAGATGGCAGCTGCCTCTTGACCTCAGAATGGAGATACCAGGTTCCCAGCCCTTTCTAGGGTGGCCAGCACACAATGAGGCAACAATGCAGGAATATTAATTCCCATATCCTTGACATTGGGGATGACACTGAGGGGTCACCCAGGTTCAGAACCCCTGAGACCTACAATGGAATAACTGAATCCTTCTGCAAGACAGACAGCTGCTTCCTTTTTATGTGCTGCCATGAAAATATTAATATTGTCTCCCAAGTTCCCTTCATGATAACCCCCTTTCATAGCCCTTCATCCCAGCAGAGCCAAACCTGGAATGATAGGCAATCTTTTTAAATGACTTCTTGTTGGAAATTCAACTGATCAGAAACTCAGGCCTCTTGAACCGGACTGGAACACAAGATTCAGGATTGACAAAAACCTTAAGATTTTACTGCCTTAAGAGTGAACTGTCTGAACAAGCCCACTTTTTTCTTCCTATTGGAATGACTTCCTTCATTACCTACATATGCAGGAGTGGCATCACACCCCATGGCCCTAAATTCTTTAGGGGCTAAGCAGCAGCAAATCTTAGATTTTTTTCCTATAAACAGCTGAAACCAAAACCAGGTGGTAAAATACCGCAGTTTTTCTGACTGTTCTCACGAGAAGACCATTTCCCAACGGGACCCTAGGCAAGAGAGCAGACAGTGTAAGTTTCGTAGGGTGAACACAGGCTGTCTTTCCCCTGCAAGCTCCTGAGAGTCTGGCCGGTACCTGGGCATCTTCAAATCTCTGTCAAGCTGCATGGGAAGAAGACAGGACGTGGCTTCTCTTCTGTTGCTGATGATGCCTTTGTCTCCACTATAGTCAGCTAGTACTATTGGGTGATTTCTCTTGAGCCATTATAGGTAACAAATACAGAGAGCCTTGTAGAACTGTTGCTGTGTAGTTACGTTGACCAAAAATGAGTATATTGTTTGTTCCTAGTTGTAGCCTTTTTGATACATCAGAAAGGCCCATGTCCAGCTCTAGATGAGAATAACCCCAATGAGAAAGAAAGGTCCCTAAGAGAGATAGTGGTAGCAGTCTCTGTAGGGAACCAGCAGTCTGCTGGCCCCACCCCCTGATGATGGGTGGGATGCTCATGGCCATGTCTTCTCTATGTCATGACTTACCTGGCTGCTCAAGCTTTACCTGGCTGCCAGGGAACTCAGTTACACATGCACAAGTTTCCCTTTTAAAGCAAGCACACCAAACATGCCTCTCTCTCTTGCTCTCTCTCTCTCTTGCTCTTGCTTCTCTCTCTCTCTCTCTCCATTGCTTTCTTTACCCCTTCTCTCTTTCTTCTCTCTCCCCTGCTTTCGGTTGGCCACCAGCTACCCCCCTTCTCTCCCCTCTATCAAGAAACTCCACGTGGGTGCTGAGTCTCATGTTTGTGTTTCATAGGCAATAATTATAGCAAAACAACAGCAGTCTCTAAATGATCCCAAAGTCAGAGAGAGGGTATTCTGGTGTGAAAAGTGAGGAGTTCCTACATAGCATGACTACCTACCATAAGGCAAAAGCAGAATTACCTGGGGTCAACTCAGTAACTCCTTCATGTCCAAGATAACATGCTTATTAAAAGCATAGTATTGAACCATCCATATCCTAGATCAGTAGATCTCAAACTGTGTGTAACAACCCCTTTGGAGGGTCAAATGACCCTTTCACAGAGGCCACCTAAGACCATCAGAAAACACACATTTACATTATGATTCATAGCAGTAGCAAAGTTACAGCTATGAAGTGGCAACAAAAATAACTTTATAGTTGGGGTCACCACAACATAAGGAACTGTATTAACGGGTCACAACATCAGGAAGGTTGAGAGCCATTATCCTAGATGGAGGAGCTATACCTTAACCTAGCATCCTTGGGACCATACTTTCCCTGCCCCACACACGGTCTATAGCTTCCTCAGGATCCCAAGGCCCGAGTAGACAGAGATGTATCCCACTTTAGACAGTTTGAACTCAGAATTGTCTGATGCCTTCTCATAGTCCAAGTGGTGTTTCTTGCCTGTAAAAGGAAGCCCAGTACCCTGGAGATGAGGTGAGCACATGCCTTGTCCCCTCTGACCCCAATCGCAAATCTCTCCTCATCCTAGGAAAGGCTACCCTTTAGCCTGCGGGACACCATGCCATTTATCATGGACCCTGACACATGAAAACTGAAGGTCCCAATGGGATCCATCCTGAGCTACCAAGGTTCACCAGACATTTCCTGGGACAATAGCTCAGCTTTATGTATAGTTTCACTCACACATATATAGTTTTGATTCAGGAAGACCTGTGCCAGCCTAGTAAGGTTAACAAGGGGCCTGCTGTGCAATTCACACATTTTTCAGGTAGAAAAATTGGAATGTGGGGCTGACTATGGCATTTTGCTCCCCCCCCCAGGGAAAAAAAATCATATAAAGTAATATACGTTAAATCACAGCAATTCACATATTTACAACCATCATTTTCAAAGAAAAGATAGAAGCACGTGCGGGAATTTCTAGAAATAATGGGCAGCCTAATTATGAGCATGAGGTGCATCTTGGTCCTTACAATCTCATTTAACAAAAGGTTAGAGAAAGAAGCTCTATCCAGGGTCTGAGAAGAGGGATCAGGGGACTGTGACATGAGAGGCAGTGACGGTCAACAACACGAGGCCTAGTTCTTTAAGCCGACGAGGGAAACTACCCGCATGCCGCCGTACATGCAAAGGTAACCAAGCTGTGCCCGCAATGCCCAAGGACAGTTTAGCTTTCTTGGGACCATGTGTACTGCCTGTTCCTCTTCTGAAATATCAGCTCTACTCCTCCGGGAAATAGGAAACCATTTTAATGGCATACAATCTGTTCAATAGGCCTATGTTCCTTGGAGACCCCGTGAGGGCTATATTTGCTGGAGGCCAAATAAGGACAAGTCACAGCTGAAGAGATGAGACCTTCAGTTGCTCATGGGCAGTGAACTCTTGAGTTCTGAGGAGCATGAGCAATTGACCTGAAAGTTTCCATGGTCCCTATTTTGCTATGCAGCCACATACATATTGAGGACTTAGTCACTCATTTGAGTAAATCTTTCTATTAAATGAAGAAGGCATGTTTTACTATGCTGACTTTTGAAAGCCTCGAAATTATGCCTTTAATTCTCTATATGATCATGTGTCACCTAAGGATGCTAAGCCGTGCTTCTGAGTTAACTGCGTTTCAGAGAACTACTTAGAAAGATCACTGCTCTGGGAGAAGAAGGGACTGCATAAGGTCCCCGAAAATTGTCCTAAACACAAAAATCTCCTCAAAGGACATCTGACAACAGGTCATATGAACTGGCTGCTGGGCTTCTTTGTTCACTTTGATACCCATACTCCAGCACAGAGCACTCTGGGAAGTGAAGATCCACAGGGTGCATCTCTGTGGCTCAAAAATGCTTCTGGAGACCCTGGGAGGTCTCCTCATCACATCTGTAGGAAATATTCTTGCAAAGCAGAGTCTTCTTAGTTGTCATTTTGTGAACTCCATGGATTTAGCTAAACATTTCCAGGTTCTAGTCATTACTGTTCTGGCAGGTAATTTGTGCCTGGAGTATCAGCAATTTAATGTTACTAATGAAAATGAAAGCTAATTAGGAAGAAAACAACAAACTTCTAAGCTCAGGCTAAGGTGAAAATAGGAAGAACTCATGGATGAATTTTATTCCAGTTTCCTTTGTCCACTCACAAGGGCAGATAAGACTTTGGTTGCAGTAATCAACCAAAAGTATCATCAAATCACATCTAGCATCGCATCTTGTTGAACGTACCTGCAACCCTTCAATGGCCAGCTTAAGGATTGAAGGTGTCAATTTGGAGGCTTGTTTGAAGGAAAAATTGCTCCAGTCTATAATTAAAATGAAACCATTTATCTGAAGCTCAGGATCTTCAATGAGAACTTCCAAGGACAGCAGAATGGCACGAAGGATGTCTGTGAAGGAGTTCCTGTGGCCAGAACAGAAAAGAGAGTGTGAGTCTAGCGAGTTGATAGATGGTGCACTGTGTGTGGTAACTCTGCTGCCCTTACCCCACTGCCCCATGGATCTTGCATGCCAAGTCACATCTATATGCAGAATGAATGAAAATAATTTGCTGAACATCCAGAACCAATGCTTCAGGGTGGCCAGGATGGGTACTTCCCTTTGATTTAGTCACAATAGCACTGTAGACTTAACGGGCGTGTCTTTCTTTTGCATCCCATGGCTCTCTGCATTCATTGCTCACACCCTGCAGAAACATCCCTGTACTTCATGCCCCATGCTCTGATACCCGCAGGGCAGGGGCTGGGCTACAAACCTGGCAGTATCGTCAGTACTTAGACACTCGATGAATCATTGATGAGCAAATTTACGGCTGCTTATTTGGATTAAATACCTTTTATTTCTTTCCTATGCTAGAACCTTGTAGAGAGTATAAAAACGCCCATGCTGCTGGTGTTGTATTTTTAGTTTTGATTCATGGATAGCAAAAAAAAAAAAAAAAAAAAAAAAAAGCAGGAAGAACAGCTTATTTTCATTTAAGGTTTCAGGTTGTGATTCAGAAGGGAAATCATTCTGAGTACATCAGTAACTATGACAACAGGCAGATGAATACAAACTAGAGTGGTAGTTCTCCAGGGCTGTATATAAGCCTTCACATCACAGTCCAAATCACTGCTAGCTTTCATTTAAACAGTTTTCAGACATGATGAAATGATGACACAAACATTTGCAAATGAGGTGGACTGAAAATCTAATGTTACAAGATTTTAAAGTCAATGTCTTTGATGAGCTAGAAGATAAAGCCTGAATGTCAAGTCTCTATAAATTCATCTTATGACTTCCTTCAGGCTTTCATTAAATCCAGAAGCTGGGTCGTGGGGTCACTATCAAAAGATTGGATTGCTAAGATAGAAATGTGGTTTTGAACTCTAACCATAACACCTGCAGAGCAGAGTTTGAGTATCTACGATTGAACAGAAGGCCAGAGATTTATTCCATCCCTATTATAATCTCAGAGTTCTGTTTCACACTTGTAATTGTGTTAGTATTCCCTGTCTCTACTTTCAAAGATAATAGTTGGAGGGAATCGGAAATGAGCTACATGAGTTGAGAGGGATTGATACCACTTGTTCATCTGTGAAGAGATGATGGCTTGGGTTTTACCTGAAATGAATAGGATTGGGGTAGATAATTCAGATAATGAAGAATGAGGTATTTCACTACTGAAGAGAGACCTAAATACAAATAAAAATAAACAACCCACTCTGTTTCTGGTCTTCATAAAAGTTCTTTTTCTCTGATACCCAGATAACATGTCCCTTCCCTCAACACACCCACTTAGATCAGATCTGGAATGTGGGTCTGGATAAGCACTCAGAGTTACACACACCATACATTTTCAACTGTGCAATATGATGCTTATGGACCTGTGTGAGCACTAGATGAAAATGGTAGCTCTTGGTGCTCTTCTTATAATTATTGTTTTCTTTCTTTTAAAAACACAGCCTATTTTAGAGATACTGTGGTCTTAGAAACTTAGGGTACGTTTTAAGAGAGTTGGTTTTGCTTGCAGCTTGGATTTCAGTTTAAACAGTCACCAGACAACTTACTAAGTGAGTAGTACACCTTTGTCTTATGAAGAAATATTGGCTTAAGCAGAACATGGTACCAGAACTATGTATTCAGGCAATGTCAAATGGTGATATAAAAATACCCAGTGGCCAGCTGGAAATGACCATTTGGGAACTAGGGACTCGGAGTTTGGATAAGCAAAGCTAGAAATGCAGCTATGGTTGCAAACAGGGAGGAGTGATGAGCAAAGGGGTCAAGACCAGGCTGGAGAAACCCATAGAAACTGCTGACCTGAACAAGGGGGAGCTCATAGATCCCAGACTGATAGCTGGGATCCAGTGTAGGCCCGACCCATATTCCCTGAATTTGGTGTTAGTTGGGAGGACTGGGCAGTGTATGGGGCCTTTGGTAGTGGATCAGTATGTATCCCTAGTATACGAATGGACTTTGGGAGCCCATTCCACATCCCTTAGCCTGGCCACATGGGGGAGGGCCTGGGCCCTGCTCCAAATGGTATGACAGACTTTGAAGATCCCCCATGGAAGGCCTCACCCTCCCTGGGGAGCAAAAAGGGGATGGGATGGGGGTTGGTGAGGGGAACAGGGGAGGGTGGGAGGGTGTAGGAACTGGGATTGTTATGTAAAACAAGGGTGTTTCAAATTTAAATAAATAAATAAATAAAATACAAACAGGGCTGAGAATCCAAGTCTTCCATAAACCCTATAGACAATGGTGAAGGCGAAGGAAGAATTAGAAAAATAATGAAGGTGAAAGGATCAAGACAGAATGATTAAATAAAAAGAAGCTAATGTTCTTGTGCATGAAGAACTATTTCTACATCACCTACTCCAGGTTTTCATGTCCTGCCTGCTCATTAAGGACATAACTCTTATCTGTGTGATTTGCCTTGATTTATGGCATGTAGACAGACCCAAAAAAAAAAAAAAAATGCTGTCAGTTTTTAGCCTTGTTCTTCAAGGACCTGTCTTGTCATCCTGTTCCCCTTTGACTAATGTCCTGGTCAAGCCATACACAGCTAGAATGATAGACTGAGAATGAGACAGACACAGGACAGTGAGACCCAGCTGGCTGTCAGGTCTCTCTTGGGAAGCAGAAAGTCTTGTCACAACCTTGCCTGGATAGAAAAGCAGGAATAAACAATTGCTTTTTAAACTGTTAAGTATGTTGGTATGGTTTGTTGTGTGTCAATAATTGTCCAAGACAAGAGAATAGGTTTAAAAACTATGGCGACTGCAAGGTTGAGGAGAATGTAGAAGGAGAAATGACCAACATGTTCACAAGGAGATCTTGTTATTGTTTAGTTGTTTGTCTGATTGATTTTCTGAGACTAGGTCCCAGAAATGGCTTCCCAGAATGGAATCCCAGAATGGCTTCAAATTCCCAATCCCACTATCTCTGTCTTCCAAGAGCTGGGAATATAGGTGCAAACCACCATTTCCAGCCACAGAGCACACCCTGAGGGAGTTTTGAGGGAGAGAGAGCACTTTAGTTGATGGTTGAAGTTGGGAATTGGTAATTATGAAGATATTTAGTAAATTAACAATTTTCTACTTTATTCTACTTCTTAAGAAAGAGATGTATCTTCACCCAGAGCATATTCACTCATGTCCACTTCTAAAAGAAGACCAGAATTCAGAGCAGGCATCAGCAAGAAGAACGATGTTCCATACATGAGGTGATTCCAGGGGTAAACTAAAAAGATTGTGGACTCAGTTTCCCTTCCAGACATTGACACATTTCACTTTTATAGGCGGGCAAGGTAATGGCAGACAGGCCAGGTACTGGGAGCCTTGCTGGAAATATACCCTCACCTTAGCTGGAAATATACCCTCCATTCCCTGAATTCCTGGCTTCTCATATAAATTTCCTGTTCCTCTTTCTATTTTGTAGTATGCTTCACTTGTGTAATACTCCTAGCTATTTGGAATTTAAAGTCGACACCAAACTAAATAATTTATGTAGATAATCCACTCTGGAGGAGTTGGAGCATAACTGCCCACTCCATAAACACTGGCCACATGCTCTTCCTTTCTGGAGAGTAGAGTAAGGAGAGGAGACACTACATAATGGGGAAACCTGGGGACTCAGCATGAGCCAGGGGACCAAGGATGGTATCACTAAAGAGACATTGCATCGCATTTTTTCTTGCAATGATGTCAAAAATGGTACTTTATTTCTCCACATCATGCTGCCAGACCAATGACGAGGAAAACACTAAATAAATTTCACTTGTAGGACATTCCATGAAAGAGATGACCAGGATTTCTCACAATTGTGAAGTGTGTCAAAACACAAGGAAATGCTGAGTGATTGTCACAGTTGAAATGACTCCAAGGAGACATGACAACTAATATAGCATGGTCTCTTGAGTGGAGTCCCTGAGACAGAAGAGACATTGGTAAAAACTGAGGTGATCTGAATGTGTGGAACATAGTGAATAGGAATAGCTTAATGTGGTTCCTTAGTTGTGACAAATACTGCAGACTAAGACATTAATCCAGACAAACCAGTTGCACACAGGACAATGAGTAACTCTTGGTGGTTACTCACCATAATTTGTAAGTCTAAAATTGTTACAAAAACAGTTGTTTTTTAATACAACAGGCCTCTGGAGCTTATGGCCTGTTACCATGAGTCTTTGAGCTCTAATAAGGTTTCTAGCCAAACCAAAATGGCTGTTAATTCAACTTAAGGCAAATTGTGGTCATAAGAACAACAGCCATTTTCAGAGTGTTTTCACCAGATGGACTAATGTGGACTATTTAACTCTAATAACCTGGAGGAAAAAGATTAATTTTTGCCTGCAATCACAATTAGATTTGAATATTTTAGCATGTATTTCAAAATGAAAGAACAGTTGAAAATTGATATTTGCATTTCATCCATGCTTTCCATAATTTGCATAGCTTTTGTATTGTCAGAGTTTAGTGTGCAGTTTTTAACCTCCTATGAAAACACTATGTGGACTGTAAATTGCCAATGAAATGTAAGGAATTATCCAAAAAAGGGATACTTTGAAATATCCCCATAAGGATTTTGATTAACTAGGACGTAGCAGGGGGTTTTAAAAGTACTTCATCATCGTACAGAGACCACCTAGAGACTATGAATATAGCTCATTTTAAGGTTCTCTTGCTGTGTTTACAGTTTTATCATTGCTTAACATCGCCATTTAAGGCTTTAAAATCCACTACACGTGAGAAACAAAATAGTGTAAAGTAGCTGCTACCAATTAGAAAATGTTTAGCTTTCAAGAATTGACTCATTTCTTGACTTTGTGGGAGATATTCTGAGACTTCAATCCCAAGGCTTGACACATAGAAGAAAAAGCTGTCATATATGAGCAGATAACCATGTAGGGGTGTGACGGGA